TTGATTTAGTTTAGCATGGTTAAGAATTCATTATGAAGAAATGAATGATGAAATTCAATTTGCAGGGTTGCAGTTATTTGTAGCTTCTTTTATGGAATATTTTGAAAATCGGAGCAAAATGATTATGTTGCTGGTTGAGGCCATAGGTGATTGTTTATTGTTTTGTTTTCCTTTTCCAAAAATTTATGTTGCCCTCTACTGAAATTTTTGGTTCAAATTTACTTTCATATTTTGTTTAAATTAACTCTCACCGTTGTAAAATATATTTAACACTGTTAATCGAATCTTTATATAACAAATGACATAACCACGGAAATATTGTTGTTTCTAAGAATGAAACAATGTTTCTAAGGTTGTTGCCACGTCAACAATATTTTTAAAAATGATTAATATTTTAATTATATTCTAAACACACTAATCAATTTTAAAAATATATATTTAACTTGAACATCTATTAAACTAAACAGTGTTAAATATATTTTAGAATTAATTTAAATAAAATTAAAATTAAGAATTGCATTGAAACCCAAAATTATTAAAGGGGGCTATGTATGTGCATATACATGCATTGAAACCCAATACTAAGGCCATGGTTGATGTTTGCACTTGTAGATGTGTATCTTCTAGGAACGGTGATGCTGGTTTTTGGTATGGGCATCTATGAACTATTTGTCAGCAATCTTGATATTGCAAAGTCATCGTCTGGGGAAAGAGTTCCATACACATCTAATTTATTCGGCTTATTCACTCTCAAGGTTTCTTCTCCATTTCCATCTTAGAAATATATAATCTAATGAATTATAGTTCAAGAATTTTTAAAATATTAATATGATTATTTTAAAATAATATTTTTATTTTTTATTAAATTATCAATGTTAAATAATCTTGTAGAGTTGAAGTTGTTACATTTTACAGAACATAAAAATATATATTTATATGTACTACTTGTGGTGTTGATTGGCAGGAGCGTCCCAGATGGCTACAAATAAAAAGTGTGAGTGAGCTTAAAACCAAACTTGGCCATGTTATAGTCATGCTTCTTCTCATTGGGTGGTTTGAAAAGAGTAAGATAGCTGTTATAAATTCTCCCCTGGATTTGCTTTGCTTCTCAACTTCTATATTTCTTTCCTCTGCTTGCCTCTTTTTGCTCGCCAAGCTTAATGGCTCAAACTGAATCTTCTTGTATAAAAATGCTAATTAAATAACAAAAATCTGACCTTATTATATCCACTAGATCACAATGTGTCTTTTTAATGATCTTTTATCATTGCTCAAATTCTAACCTGCACTTTCTTCCTGCTTCCTGCCTTCCATGCCTCACTTTACCTACTTGTACTTCTCAAAATTTCTAACTTATATTAACAATCTATCTATATCCTTGCAAATTCTTTCTTCAAAATTAACATATTAATTTAGGATAACAAATTTTGTACTAGAAAATTCATGGTAAAGATGTAACAAGTGAGTCACAACCAAAACCATGTGATGAGACTAAACGAGGGTTACTAATGAATTTAGTAAGGCCAATAAGATTGCAGGTTAAAATACTTACATTTCACATAACAATAGAGAATTTGTATCAAAAACTTGGTAAGCCAATGCTAGTTATAACTTGAACAATCCAATAATTAATTATTAAAGAAAATAAGAGGGCTGAATAATAATTCTTTAAGAACAATCTCGATACCTAAAAAACAAGATTACATACTTTTATAACCCTAGTTTTAATCATGCCTTCCATCACAACAGTAGAGATAGTGCAATCTCTCATGTGTATAAAAGAGATACACCCAAGTTTCCATATGGAGAAGGAAAGATATCATTCTTTTGTTGATGCTTGTGCTTAAAAATATATGTTATTAACTTATTAATTCAAACTCAACGGATATATCTCTATCTTCACTCACATGGAAGTTTTGAGCTTGATTTATTATCGACATGAAAATCAATGACAGACTTAGTTGGTTAGGGATGTGAGATAAAACTGTCATAAGTTATATAGGTTATGATTGATGAAAGTTATAAATTTAAAATAATTAAATGTACTTTAAGACTTGGAGGGTGCACTTAGTTTCTCAACTCTATAGAATGAAGATCTTGTGAGGTCCACATAACCCTCGACATTGTGTTGAAATTTACTTTGACTCTTCATGTGTTTTACCTTCTTTTTATTTTTCTTTTTTTTTTCTTGGCAAAACAATTGGCCATTTAAGCATGTTAGTATGGTTACTGTTAGTTTGTTTTGAGGTTCTAATAGTTTTTTTTTATAGAATTCTTCATTTCCTAACTCTAACGATTCTTGAGTATGTTGTAATTCATCAATGAAGATTGGTAAATGTTTCTTGTTATGTCTTGACAAGATGATCAAGCCAAAATGGATTTCATTCATATTACTTATTGTTTCAAATCCTATTTGTGCAAAGTGAATACGCTAAAAATAAATCTTTCTTGCACCATAATCAAATAGGTAAGTGGCTGAATTTACTTGAGAGACAAAAATTAATAACATAATGTTCTAAAAGAATTGGAAGGGAATAGCTATGAGTCTTACGGCTTGAAGAAATCTTGAAAAAGGTATGAGAAGAATGCACATTCCTATGTGCATCTGACTAGATTAGACACACCTTAAAACATTGACTTCTATTTGCATGCAGTCACCTTTTCGGTTTGAAAAAGTATGCTTAACCCAATAAAATAATTTGTGATAGGTACTATCTTGCTTGTACATTGATTAATTGTAGTTATTTGGTTTTTGTTGCTTATGTACTGTAATTTCATCTCCATATGGTTTGTAAATATGATTTGTAGATATTTTAATCAAGATTGCTTCATTTAATAATACGTATCAATTCACATACTTGCACCTAAAGAAGATAAAATAATGAATGCAAGTTAGGACTTAAATTAATTTAGTACAGGAAGATATAGTCTTAGACTTTCTTACTTTATATTATATTGGACTTAAAATTTCTACTTTATATATATATATGTATTTAATGTTCAAATCTTACTTTCAATCCAAAAACTCCTTGAATTTTAAAATACTATTTTTTAAATTTATTCTAACCTGATTAAACTTGTTTTACTTTTAGAATTCACATTACAATTCTACTATTTTAACCTTTTTTTTTTTTTTTTGTTTTTTGAAAGCTAAATATTTGCTCTGGTTTAAACCTTCTTTTTAAACTAATTTTCTTCTCAGTACAATTGTTAATTAATTTATTTATCACTTAACGTAAAACAATCACTTTTTAAGTTAGTATCATCTTTCTATTTTTTCTTAATTTTTATTAATTTACCATAGATTTTCATGTTTAAAAAACATTCATTAGGGTCTACAAATGTAGTTTATTACAAATGTAGTTGTATTACTCGCAAGAATCAATAAATTACATAATAGAATTAGTTACAATTTTTTTAAAAAAATTAATAAGCATTAACTAAATTCCCACTATGATTATTCTATCAGTAATTATTTTATTTTTACTTTCTTCATTGTTATTTCTAAAACGTTCTAATTTGATAATACAAAATCACCGCTGAAAAACAAATTGTTGTCCACAATATTTTTTTAATTATATAAATAAAAAATAATAACAATAATAAGTAAAGGATAAAACTGTTGACTGTCGAAAAAGAAGAAAAAAATATAAAGGAAAATAAGAAATAAAGCCAAAAAAGAACATCAACTTGTGAAAATGACAATATGTATATACATATGCGAAAATATCTGGAACTGAAATTTGCTGTCGAAACTTAAATTTTTGAACAAAAATGAGGAGAGTTAGGATTTTCAGAGAGGACCACAGAGAGTTTTCACATATGTATACACGTGCTAGTTTAAGATAAAAACAAACATATGTATACACGTGTTTTCACATACCTATATAGATAAAGGTGCTAGTTTAGATAAAAATTATTTATTGACATTATGACATATGTATGTTTATTTTACATAT